TGATGCACAGCTGGAGACCACAAAATTAGAATGCAACACAGAAGAAAGCAATACCATGTCAAACTGTCACAATGGGATTCTAGATTCTGAATCTCACCACTCAAGGCTTGCCAGGATTGTTTTGGTAATTGATTGTCCTACTGATTTGCTGGTCCTCTTTCTATTTCAGGAACATTTCCAGATATCCTCCACTTTTTTGTTGTTGCCACTTGAATGATTTGCAAGCCCATGAAAAAAAACCTTGACCACAAGGTGGCAGCACAAGAAGCTTTATTGGTGATGTTTTGACAGTTTTTCAGGCAGGGGATGTCCCTCACAGTGGAGTCTGAACAAGGCCACGTACCAGCTATTCAGAAGAGGTGAAGCACAAGGGAACTGCAGGGGGAACAGAGAGGAGGCTCTTTTGTCTAGGTGATGTCACTCATCAGCAAAGTATGGAGTTTCTGGATCAGAGAGCTTCCATAGGTAGCAGTTTGTGGCTTGGGGAGGACTTCATCTATCACCAAAAAGATGTAGGCTCAAGTTTTATAGGGTATGCAAATCAGGCAGATTCTAAAAGAGGCTATGAATCTGATTATCTTTGCTATTTATAAAATAATTGGATGTATAAGAATTTATTTGGTGTTAGGCTTTTGAGTTAAGGGGGCTTATCCTGTAGTGAAGAAGTAAACAATTGGAGGCTATTTTTGGCTGACATTTAAAACAAATGAAGGCAGAATCTGTTCTATCTTTTTCTTAGGAATTATGCATAAAGGATTGAAGGTATAGTCACTGTCATTCTGTATGGATCATCTCTACTTCTGGCACCTGCTGTTGTATCCTGGTCCCAGGACTACTGTATTAACTATTGCATCCTTCTATCTTCCAGATCAAACTGAAATCCCTGTTAGGACTTCATTTGGCAATGGTATCTTAGATATGATGCCAAAAGCATAAAGACCAAAAGAAAAAATTGATTAGACTTCATCAAAATTGGACTTCATCAAAACTGAAAACTTTTGTTCATTAAAAGACATTATTAGGAGAATGAAAAGACCACCTGGAGAATGGGAAAATCATAATCTGATTAAGGTTTGTAATTACATATCTAATAAGGGTTTTGTATCCAAAATATATAAAGAACTCTTACAACCTAACAACAAAAAGACAAAATCCCCTGTAATAATGGGCAAAGGACTTGAATAGACATTTCTTCAAAGAAGATAGATACATGCTAATAAGCATGTGAAGAGAGTCTCACGTTATTAGTCATCAGAGAAATGCATTCAAAATCACAATGAGAGTCGGGTGCTGTGGCACACACCTGTAATCCTAGCAGCTTGGGAGGCTGAGACAGGAGATAGCAAGTTCAAAACCAGCGTCAGTAACTTAGCAAGACCCTGCCTCAAAATAAATGAATAAATAAATAAAAGGGCTGGGGATGTGATTCAGTGGTTAAACTTCACTGGTTTCAATCCCTGGTACCAAAACCAAAACAAAAAACACAATGAGATCTCACTTCATACCTACTTGACGGCCACCATAAAAACAAATAGAAAATAACAAATGTTGAATATGTGCAGCAGTGAAAACACTCACACATTACTCTGGGGAAGTAGAATGGTGCAGTCCCCATAGAAAATAGTTTGGTGGTTCCTCAAAAAGTCAAACACAGAAATACCATATGAGCTGGCAATTCCACTCCTAGGTTTAGACCCAATAAAATTGAAAACAAGGGTTCAAACAAAAAATTGAGTATTAGCAGAACTATTTATAGTGGACAAAAAAGGTAGAAACAGCCTGGTGCGGTGGCACATGCCTGTAATCCCAACGACTCGGGAGGCTGAGGCAGGAGGATTTCAAGTTCAAAGTCAGCCTCAGCAATGGCGAGGCACTAAGCCACTTGGTGAGACCCTGTCTCTAAATAAAATACAAAGTACGGCCAAGGATGTGGCTCAGTGGCTGAGTGCCCCTGAGTTAAATTCCTGGTGCCAAAAAAAAAAAAAAAAAAAAAAGGTAGAAACAACCCACATCTAATCTAGTAACTGAAGAATGCATAAGCCAAATGTGGTATATTCATATAATGGAGTTTTATTCAGTCATGAAAGGAAGGAAATATTAATACCACATGAATGATCCTTGAAGACTGCTGTGGTTTGAATGTCCTCTCTGAAATTTAATTGCTATCATGACCATATTAAGAGATGGGACTTTCAGGAGTTGGGTGTGTAGGTTAGTTGTGGAGCACCTGCCTGGCATGCTGAGGGCTTTGGGTTCCATCCTTAGCACTGGGGGAGAGAGATAGAGATAGAGATAGAGATATAGAGATAGAGATAGAGATAGAGATAGAGATAGAGAGGTGTGGTGTTTGTGGATCTTTTAAGGGGTGATTAGGTCAGAAGGGCTCTGTCAATGGATTAGTGCCATTATTGAGAAAATGGGTTATTCTTGGGAATGAGTTCCTGATTTTACAAAAAGGATGCATTTTTCTAATTTCTCTAGCTCTGAATTGAGCATGCTTGTTTGTCTTCTTGCCATGTTATAATGCAGCATGAAGGCCCTGGAAAGATTCTGGGGTTTTCCAGTCTCCACAACTGTAAGCCAAATAAAATTCTATTGTTTAAAAATTATCCACGGGTTGGGGATGTGGCTCAAGCGGTAGTACACTTGCCTGGGTTTGATCCTCAGCACCACATAAAAATAAAATAAAGATGTTGTGTCCACCGAAAACTAAAAAATAAATATTAAAAAATTCTCTCTCTCTCTCTCAAAAAAAGTGTCACTCTTCATAAAAAAAATAAAAAAATTATCCAGTCTGTGGTATTCTGTTTTAGCAGCACAACAAGGATTAAAACAATGTGATAAGTAAATGAAGCTAGACATAAAACGTCACATAATATTTTTCAGGTGTTTTTTTTTTTTTTGGTGATATTGGGGATAGAACACAGGGCTTTGTGAATACTAGGAAAGCATAGTACCATTGAACTACATCCCCAGCCCCAAAGCCACACAGTGTTTGATTCTATTTATGTGAAATATCCCCAATAGGCAAATCCACAGTGACAGCATATTAAGTGGTGGCCAGCACTTCAGAACAGAAGGGAACGGGGAATGATTACTTAATGGCTATGTAGTTTCCTTTAAAGGTGATGAAAATGGTCTGGAACTACATAGTGGTAATAGTTGCACAACATTGTGAATGTAGTAAATGACACTGAATTGTAACTTTAACATGGTTAAAATAGTAACTTTCATACTACATGTGTTTTACTACAATAAAAAAGAAGTCTTAAAATCATAGAATTTGCAGGGAAATGGATGGCATTAGAGCAGATTATGCTAAGTGAAGCTAGCCAATCCCTAAAAAACAAATGCCAAATGTCTTCTTTGATATAAGGAGAGTAACTAAGAACAGTGTAGGGACGAAGAACAGGAGAAGAAGATTAACATTTAACAGGGATGAGAGGTGGGAGGGAAAGGGAGAGAGAAGGAAAATTGCATGGTAATGGAAGGAGACCCTCAGGGTTATACAGTGGAGGAGGTAGAGAGAGAGGAGGGGAGGGGAGGGGAGAGGTGGGGAGGGGGGAGGGGGGAGGATGGGAAAGGCAGTGGAGCACAACAGACACTAGTATGGCAATATGTAAATCAATGGATGTGTAACTGATGTGATTCTGCAATCTGTGTATGGGGTGAAGGTGGGAGTTCATAACCCACTTGAATAAAAGTGTGGAATATGATATGTCAAGAAATTTGTAATGTTTTGAACAACCCACAATAAAAAATTAAAAAAAAAAAAAAAAAGAAGTCTTACCCCCCGCCCAAATCCACAGTGACAGCATATTAAGTGGTGGCCAGCACTTCAGAACAGAAGGGAATGGGGAATGATTACTTGTTGAATTGCTTCTATAATATCCTGGTCCCCTTCCTTGTCTTAGGGATGTTTCTTATTAATGAAAGTTTTCCCAATTGCAATAGCCTGAAAAGAAGCATCTCCTTAGTTGTCTTGTGCATTTTCTCTTTCACATCATCAAGTGATAGAGTGTGACTAATTGCGTAGGGTGTTTGGAAGTCCAGAACCTGAGCACTTTCCGTCTCCTGTTCGTTCCTCCACACCTCAAAGAGATTCTGAGCAGGGCCTGATAGGAGTGGGACCTTGGCATCTTGGCCTTCTCAAATCTCTGTGGCAGGTTCCCAGGAATGTGGGCAGGGCGGGGTTACCGTCAGGGCTGTGTGAATTCTCCTCTAGTCTCCGACTAATATCCCTTCTTGCCCAGTCTCATCTCTCCCTACGCTTCTATCTCCATCTCTCCCTGTACCCGTGTTTATCGGTGTCACTTTCTTAAAAAGTCTTTTTTTCTGGGACCAGAATTGTACCACCCCTGGTCTTCCCCGCATTTGCACTTTGGTATCTTCCACAGAGGACTATACCAACTCGTGTCTTCTTCATAGCTAGCCCAACAGTACCTATTCCCCTAGCGTTACTTCCTCTAGAAGTCTCCTCCACACTTACTCCGCATTTTCACACTGTAGAGGAATGTATCGTTCTCTGCTTCGATTCTCTTCTGACCGGCAATAGTTCCCAGGGAGAACTGTACTATTCCAGGCCCTACCCCTTTTTAGCAGTGGTATCTCCCCGCGGAGGCGCGGTAGCGGCTGGTGCTGTGGTTCTCAGCTCTAAATTTGTAAAAAACATGTATATGATTCACTCATCATTAGCCTGCTTTTGCACAAAGGGCCCCACTCTTATCGCCAAGTTTCCATATTCCTCCCTAAATTCCATCTCTTCCAAACTTTAAGAGGATCCTTTTCCCCGCTGTACGGAACGATAAACGTTGTAAAGATGTCTGCTCCCTTGGCAAACCGGCTCACTGGCGCGGCCATTTTTTTTGCCAGCCAAATAATGATCATTGTGGTAACCAAAATAATTTTGGCTACTAGCGCCGATGGCTTCAGGAAAGGCTACTGCGCATGAGCAAGTATAGTGACTGACAGTAACCAAGGCGGGGTAAAGGACTAAAAAGTGGCTGTCGGAGGAAGTTATGACTGATTTTAGAAACATCAAGGGGACTTTACCAGAATAAGAATTCGAATTTTAAGATCAGAGCAGGGGATGAAGGAGGGCAGAGTTCACTCAGAGCGGAAGTGAAAGGGCTGATAGTCTGCAGGCGGAGTGACACCAGCGAGTGTGGACTCTCTAAAGCCGCGATTTACTCGGTGAGTACTTGGGGAGGGGCTCTGAGATGAGAGATGAGTGTCTGGGGAGGGAGCTGTAAACGGAGTGATGGGAGTCTGTGGAATGAGTGATGGAGTCTGTGGAGTCGGTGACGGAGGGACTGTGGGGTGAATGATGGGTGTATTTGGGGTGTGAGATGAGGGGATCTGTATAATGAGTGATGAGAATTGTAGTGTAAATGTTGGGGGGGTACTGTGAAATGTGTGATGAGGGTCTCGGGTCAGCGATGGGGAATTTGTGGTAGTGAGTGTTGGATGGCCTATGAGATCCATGATAGGGATGTGTTGTTGAGTGATGGGGATCCGTGGGGAAAACAAATGTCCTTTCCCTTTTTTTTTTTCTTAGCCATTTCGTGGCCATTTTACCAGCTGGCATTTGTGTATTTCTGATCTGGTGATTTGGTGAACTTTCAATCTGGGTGTTCCTTGCCATCTGCAACTCTTTTCTTTTCTTCTCCTCCCTCTCAACAGCTCTGCCTTTTTAGGCCTTTGCCTTCTCTCCACAACAGTCAGACATGACTAAGTTCCGGGTAAGTTCTTACTTGCTTCTCCCCTCCCCCTCCCCTTGTTAGGATACTTAGAAGCAAGGAAGCACTATTGTACAGTGGTTAAGACTAAAGACTTTGAGATTAAACTCCTCTTAACAGCTTTATGAGCTTAGGCAAGCCATTTAACCTCTCTGTGCCTTAATTTTCCTAAGTATAAAATGGGGGTGATGATGATGCTAACAATAACAATAATAATACTTACCTTGTATGGTTGTTGTGAAGATCAATTGAATTAACATGTGTTTAGAACAATTCCTGGTATATACATAGTATGCATTATATATGAGCTTGATGTTAATTACTGTATTAATATTTATACCATAAAATGGATATGTATAAAAATATACAGTTAGGGTTAGAGAAGTAGAGCAAGTCCAAGGCAAGGTTGAAATGTGTATGCATAGATCATAGGATTCTACACATTTATGTTAAGCTACAGTTACCTTTCTAGCTTCCTAGAAGCCACAACACAGAGGGAAGTAAACACACTTGCTTTATTTATCTCACCCATCAGAGAAAGTGAGCTACTTCCTGAGAAGTAAAGTTTTCCTGATGTTGATCAGATAGTTCTCTGATCAATCATCCAAGTCCCCATCAGCAATCTTTTGATAAATGCAGGGTTGGGATTGCTCTGCTGTGACTTAGAATATATCCCCATGTTAGCCAAATGTGTCCTGCCAGAACAGAAGTAAGGAATGCAATTCTTCAGGAAACCAAAGCCATCTCTGCACAATGAACTCTCTTATGTTCTGGATCAACACTGGATTAAAACTTTGATGGTTAAGAACAATCAATAAACCTCATGCCCTTCAAATTCTTTTCGAATACATTTTCTCTCATCTGTGATTTCAGTACAGCCTGAGAATCCTTGCCCTTTCCCTTTTTAGGCTCAGAAATCATAATGTCCCTGACCATTTTCAGTTCTTTCCTTTCTGCCCTTCTTTAAAAGTCTGAAAATCTGAAATAATTTTGTCATTTTTTTTCCTCTTCCTACAGAAGTGAGATAGGAATGGCACCCAAAATTCAAACTCTTGAGGAATGTACAATCCCAAAAGGGGAACTATCTCATGATCTCATATCACCATTCATTTCAGATAACAATTCTATGATGAATTTCGTTAATTTTTGCCTGTATACCCCACTCTCTTCCTTGTCCTTGTTCTTTATATTTACATACATTTAAAACATATAGTTAAGGTATGTCTTCTTTTTATTTATTTATTTTTGGTACTGGGGATTGAACCCAGTGGCACTTTACCACTGAACTACATCCCCAGCCCTTTTTAATTTTTATTTTGAGACAGGGTCTCTTTAAATTGCTGAGATTGGCCTCAAACTTTCAATCCTCCTGCCTTAGTCTCCTGAGTTGCTGAGATTATAGGCTTGTGCCACTGCACCTGGCACATATATTCTTTTGCTGCAATTTGCTCATTAGGTAATACTGTTTTGCAACTTTCTGCTTTCCCTTTACAGAATGATATAATGCAAGTTGAACATCCCTAATCTGAAAATCTGAGATCCACAAAGCTCTAAAATATGAAACTTTTTGTGTTAGAGGTATAATGTCACAAGTGGAAAATTCCACACCTGATCTTGTGTGATGGGTCATAGTCAAAATGCAGGCACAGTAAAAATATTGCATAAAATTGCATCCAGGGTATGATTATAGGGTATTATATGAAACATAAATGGATTTTGTGTTTAGACTTGGATCTCATCTCTAAAATATCTTAAAACAAGAGCCAATTTGTAGTGAGCTTACACTATGCATGATACAGTACTAAGCACTTTATATGCATGGCCATCTTTAATTCACAATAACTGTATGAAGTAGGTACCATTATTATTCACATCCTACAGATGAGGAACTGAGTACCAGAGTGGATAAACAAGTGGCATGGGATTGCACAGTTGATCACTGGCACAGCTGATTACTGCTACAGCTGGGATAGTGCCTTGTTGGTAGAGGATGTTTTTGGTGTTGTTGTTTTGTGTTTTTTGCAGTGCTGGGGATAGAACCCAGGGCCTTGTGCATGCTAGGCAAGTGCTCTACCACTGAGCTATCACCCCAGGTCACAGAGATATTTTTAACAGCTACATTTTTCTCTTGAATGCATGTACCATGATTTATTAATCAGCTCCATATTGAAGGACTTCTGTGTAATTTCTGTTTCAGTGTGGCAGTGATCTCTCTTGTCATCTATCTTTGTATTCAGTGATGACCATTTCTAGAATGTCTGGTTCAAAAGGTGGGCACGTTTTGAACTTGCATAGACATTGCCAAGTTGCCTTTTGAAATGTTAGTACAAGTTGATACCTCTACTAACACGAATGAAAATACCCTTTTGAATTCTCTTGTCATGATTTTAAGCCTTGCCATTTGACAGTTGAAAGTCTCTATTTTTTCATTTATGTTTATTTAATTATCAATGTTTTTGAGCATATTTTAATATTTTTTTCTCTTTTTTACATTTCTTCTGTGAATTGTTCCTTTATATACACTGCTCTTTTTCCTTTGGAGTTTTTGAATCTTTGTCTTACATTTTTTTTTAAAAAATTATACCTTTATTTTAATTTATTTTTATGTGGTGCTGAGGATCAAACCCAGTGCTTCGAATGTGCTAGGCATGCACTCTACCACTGAGCTACAACCCTAGCACCTTTGTCTTATATTTTTTATTTTTATTTTTCACAGTGCTGGGGATCAAACCCAGGGCCTCATGCATGCTAGGCAAAACCTCTATCACAGAGCTACATATCTCTGGCCCTGTCTTACTATTTTTAAAACATTTTATGGAAATATGACACAGAAAAAATCTTTTGGGGTAGATTTATTAAAGCACAATATTTAGAGGAGATATATATCATACAATTTTTTAAAAAAAATGTCTGCAAATTGAAAACCCCTTGGAACCAGTACCTGTAACAAAAAGGAGGGAATGACAGGCCTCCCATTAGCCTCCATTCTACTTCCAATCATGGTCTCTTGGCTTACTGGTAATCACTTGCTGATTTGTATCACTCTAGATTATTTTGGCCTGTTCTTGGATGTCATATAAATGGAATCATACATTATTACTCTTTTGGGCCCAGCTTCTTTCACTCATCGTAATTTTTTTTTAAATTTATTGTTTTGTTTTTGTAGTTCAAAGGATCAAACCCAGGGCCTTACACATGCTAGGCAAGTGTTTTTGACACTGAGGTATACCCCAATCCCATTATAATATTTTTAAGATTAACCCTTGTTATTTTATCAGTAGTGTGTTCTCTTTCTGTTACTGTGTACTATTCCATTGTATAAATAGATCACAATTGTTCATCTATTCTACTGCTAATGGATATGACCATTTTGGATTCTATAAATAATATTTTAGATACTTACAAATAATACTTGTATGAATATTTTTATACATGTCTTGGTGAACATATGTGCATTTCCACTGGATATATATATTTGAGAATGGGGTTGCTAGGTCCTAGGCTAGGGTTATTTTTATCTTTACTACATCTTTTTCTTCTTTTTTAAACTTTTTAATTTGTTCTAATTAGTAGCTTTACTATATTCTATCCAGTTGTTTTCCAAAGTGGCTATACCACTTTACTCCCACCAACAATGTATGAGAGTTTCAGTTGCTCTACATCCCTGCCACCATTTGGGTTGTTGGTCTTTACTTTATCCATTCTGTTTGTATACATTTGTATCTCCTTGTGGTTTCAGTTTGCATTTCTCTGATGACTAATGATATTTACCACCTTTTCATTTGTGTTTTGACCATTGGGAGAGCCTCTTTTGTGAAGTATCTATTCAAATATTTTTTTCTCTAGTTTTTCTGTTGTCTTATTGATTAATAGGAGTTGTTTATAGTTCATATAGTATAAAAGTCCTTAGGTATTGCAGATATCTTGCATAAGATTTTTTTTGGCAGTGCTAGGGATTGAATTCAGGTCTTTTCAGATACTAAGCAAATGTTTTACCACTGACCTACATGGTCAGCCCCCAAGAAGGCTTTTTTGAAATGATTAAATTTTAAACAGTAGCTTCTCTCTGAAGAATATTCCCCTTACCTTAAAAAACCATCTCTCCAATCACCCTGGTCTGATCACTACGTATTGTATACGTATATTGATATATCATACTGTACCCCATAAATATGTACAATTAATATGTGTCAATTAAAAATATTAAAAATAGATTTACTGATATTTTGGGAAAGTACCATCACTTTAATTTTTATCAAACTGATTGAACAAAAGTATGCAATTACAGGGATCAGTGTCATTCGAGGATGTGGCTGTGGACTTCACCCAGGAAGAATGGAATCGACTGGACCCTACTCAGAGGACCCTATACAGAGATGTGATGCTAGAGAATTATAGCCATCTTGTTTCTCTGGGTGAGGATGGCTTCCCTTAGTAATCACAGTGTCCCTAGCAGAATAACTTTCCATCTCTGAATGAAGTACTTCAATTCTTTGAACTCAAGTGGTAGGGGTTAAAGGTTCTTATTCCCTTTAAACTGATCAAGGCGTTTGTATTTTCATCTTCCATGTGAAATTTACCCTCATTAAAATGTACCTTCCTAATTTTTTGAAGCCCTGAAAGCCACACAGAGGCTCCCAAATCTTGTATCATTTCCCATTACAGGGTATCCTATTACCAAACCAGATGTGATTGCCTCTTTGGAGAATGGAGTTCTTGAGATCATAAAGAGAGAAATCCCAAGTTCAAGTTGTACAGGTAAGAAGTGAGAGATAAGATATTGTGAGATAATACTCTTTAGGATCTCTGAATGCTGACCATTTTTGAATGCTCTGAAATATCTTCCTAAAGAATATACACTATTGTTGCTTATTCCATATTATTAGTTTTGTGAGATATTGTCTCAAAATAATCTTGGAATAAGATGGCAAGGAGCTGGATTATACTCTAGCTTAGTCCTTCTGCTTCTCTCAATAACCTCAATTGTTTTTAGCCTTTCTGAAAAGTCCTTTGCAATTAGAGTCTTTTTTCCCCCAAATCCTGGATCTGCTACCTTCCAATATCCATTTTCCTATTCATGACTCCCTAGCCTATTTTTACATTCTCTTCCCATTTTAAGCTATTTTCTTAAACAATCTTGTCACTTATTGTTACTTCTGTCTCAATGTCTATTGAATCAACTTGTTTTTCTTTTTTTTTTACTCCTTGAGCTCTGAGTGTAGCACAGACATATACTTGGAATTTCTTTCTGACTGGTATATAGACTTAAAAGAAATTAAAATTCAACCCCATCAGAGGCCTGCATCTTTCAAAGGTGTATTCACAGAGTATGGTTTATTATTCTTTCTAGAAGATGAACAAGCTGAAGACCAGCTGGAGAACCACCAGGAAAACCAAAACAGACACCTGAGGCAAGCTATATCCATTGATGAGAAAAATGTGTCTAAGGAAAGAGCTCATGAATTTGATGGCTTTGTAAACCCACTTCCTCAGAGCACATGGGTAGTTTCTTCAGGACACGCACCCTATATAACTGACTCATATGGGAAAAGTTTTAAAGATAATTTTGGCTTACTCAGTCCTAATAGTCTGAGCTTGACAGCTCAGAAATGTTATGAATGTAATCGATGTGGGAAATTATTAATTCATGGCAGGCATGAAAAAAATAATGGAATGATACCCCTTGACTATAATACATATGAGAAAGGTCATAGTCTTAACTTTGTTCAGCATAATCTGACTCAAGTTGCAGAACCAACCTATGAATGTCCTGAGTGTAGAATACCCCTCAGCACGAATTCACTCCTTATTGTTCATCAGATCACTCACATAGGAGAGAAACCTTATGAATATACAGAATGCAGAGAGGTATTCAACAAGACTGCACACCTCAGTATACATCAGACCATGCACACAGGAGACAAACTTTTTGAGTGTAATGAATGTGGCAAATCCTTCAGAGAGGAATCAACCCTGCATATACATCAAAGAACTCATACAGGTGAAAAACCGTATGTATGCACTGAGTGTGGCAAAGCTTTCCAAGAAAAGACAAAGCTCATCATACATCGACGAACTCACAAAGGAGAGAAACCCTATAAATGTTCAGAATGTGAAAAAACCTTCAACCAGAAGGCACACCTCAGTGTTCATCAGAGAACACACACAGGAGAGAAACCCTTTGAATGCAGTGATTGTGGCAAATACTTCAGAGAGAAATCAACACTGAATATACATCAAAGAACTCATACAGGAGAGAAGCCGTATTTATGCAATGAGTGTGGCAAAGCCTTCCGAGAGAAGACGAAGCTCATCATACATCAGAGAACTCACACAGGAGAGAAACCCTATGAATGTTTAGAATGTGGGAGAGCCTTCAATCAAAAGGCACACCTCAGTGTACATCAGAGGACACACACAGGTGAGAAACCTTTTGAATGTAATGAATGTGGCAAATCTTTCAGAGAGAAATCAACACTGCGTAGACATCAAAGAATCCATACAGGAGAGAAACCTTATGTGTGTTCAGACTGTGGAAGAGCATTCACCCTTAAGCTGAGCCTCAGTGCTCATCAGAGAATTCATACAGGAGAAAAAACTGATGGATGTACTGTATGTGGAAAAGTCTTCTCCCGCAAGTCATATCTTATGCTACATCAGAGAGCTCATACAGGAGAAAAATTTGAGAAATCCTATGAATGCAATGAATGTGATAAAGCATTCTTCCAGAAATCATATCTCATTATTCACCAGAGAGTTCACACAGGGGAGAAACCCTACGAGTGTAATGTATGTGAGAAAGCTTTCTCCCAAAAATCATATCTCATTATACATCAACGAACTCATACAGGAGAGAAACCCTATAAATGTGATAAGTGTAATAGAGCCTTCAGAGAAAAGTCTAAACTCACTGTACATCAGAGAACTCACATAGGAGAGAAGCCCTATGACTGTCCTGAATATGAGAGAAACCTTCTAGAAGTCAAAGATCAGCAAGGATTAGAGAACTCTCAGAGAGGAGAGACCAAAGAACTGAAAATGGAAAATCCTTTGTAGGAAAGTCAAAGAAAAAGTGAGGTGGGGGAATCCTGCTTTAGGGTGATCAGGGATGGCTTTTCTGAGGACATGACATTTGATCTTAGATCTGAAAACAAAGCACCAGCCATACTGGGGGAAGAGCATTCCAGGCAGAAGAAATAGCAAGGGCCAAGGTCCTGAAGCAAAAACTGGGCCTTTCATGATTATATCATGGATGTATATTGAATGACTTTACACCAAAAAGGTTGTTCAACATTAAAATCTTTTGAAGCTTTGAATCTATGAGAGATGTCATTAGGAAGCCAAACCTCACCATAAATCTGGGCAAAGATATCAAGGGAAGCCCAATTTAATTAATTTCAATAATCATAGTCCCTTGGAAATGAAATAAGGGAAACATGTTTCCAAATTTAATATCCAACTCTCACAAAAAATTAAGAAAAGCTATTATTAAGAACACTCATTTTGTCATCTTTCATCATGGGTAATAAAAGCTATCTCCAAGAAAAACAGAGTTCACCAAATGATATGAAATTACATAATTAAAGATAACCACAAAAGGAAAAACAATGAAGAATATACTATAAATGTTCAGATATTAGAAAGGACATTTAAGCAGAACAATGTAAAGAAAACAACACTACAGCATCAAATCCAGTTTCCAAAAGTAGCAACAGTTGATAATGCTTGCATTTTCACCACAGCCTGTTGGGTAAGATTTTTGGCTATGTTTCTCTGTGTGGATCTTCCTCTTCTCTGAGACTCATCCTACAGCCTTCCCCAAAAGACTATAAGCGGCACGACAGGTTTTTAGAAGATCCGTTTTTGACTCAAATTCACCGGCGTTTATTTCTGCTGCTTTTGATGAATAACTATCACATTCAGAAGTCAGTACCCAGAGTAAAAGCACCTTTTATGGACACCCAGGGAAATGTGAACTTTGGTTATCTATGTTGTTTGGGGCTGAGCACAGGGGAAATCCTTTAAAGGAAGGGAGCTTGAGTTTTCTTTGGCATGCAGTGGCCACTAGCTGTTTCAATGATCATCTGCTCTGGATGTAATGAATATTGAAAGCAAGGCTTTGAGTAGTTGAGAATCCACCCTCAACCAAAGAATACAAAGGAAATGATTAACTGCTTCTTCGTGGGAGTGGGTGCTTCCAGTGGGGCTGGCCAATGAAAAGAAAAGAATGGTAAGTTCAAATTCCTAAATGCTCTGCTGAAGACACAGACTGAACCCTGGGCATTGTGTAAAAAGAAATTATTACCTGTGCATTCATTGAATTCCTTCTTAAATTCCCAGTGTGTCATTTGCAATTTAGGTTTTGATTTTGAAAGAGATGATGGGGGGCTGAGAATTAGAATGATGACATGTGGGAGAATGTGAATATTTTAAACTCCCAGTTCCCACTGAGCTTCCTGTGTAAACTGAGTTTAATCCCATTCTCCTCTGATGAGACTGTATCTGTCGAAAATAAAGACCCTGTAGTGACCTCAACTGAGACTGATACTTCTTCGGGGAAGCCAACTTTCATATACTTCCATCCTGGCTCTATCTCTATACCTGTAATTGTCTTTTTAAAAATATTTATTTTTTTAGTTGTAGTTGGACACAATACCTTTATTTATTTACTTTTTATGTGGTGCTGAAGATCGAACCCAGGGCCTTGCATGTGCTAGGTGAGCTCTCTACTGCTGAGCCACAACCACAGTCCCTGTAACTGTCTTTTGCACCAAGCACTTTATATGCTTTACATATGTTAATTCACTTAATCCTCCCAATAACCTCATAGGGTCACTAATATCATTATCATCCTCATTTTCCAGATCAGAAGACTGAGGCACAGAGAAATTAAGTGCCTCGTTTAAGGCAATACATCCAGTAAGTGGTAGAGATGGTATTTGATTCAAGGAGCACCTATGCTCTTAATAACTACACTATCCTTTCTCCTACCCCAAGTCATCTGGTGTCTCTTGATTACAGTTGTGAAGATATGGGGGAAGTGACTGAAAGGTGGTACCTCCAGGGATTGGAAAAATGAAGAATCAGGCAAAGGCTTTTGCACTGCTTGTAGATATCATCTTTATTAAATCCACAAAAGAAAAAAAAGACAGGAAAGGATATCTCTATCCCTGTGAATTCCAGTCATGATTCAGGTTTCCTTGGGTTCTCTTTTACATATATTTCACACCCCTTGAGCCATTCAGATAAATCATGGCCAGAGCAATGCCGGGTCCAAGAATCCCTGGGAGATGAAGGGAGGGAGGAAGGATGAAGTGGATAACTTGATGAGGCAATACCCCTATCTCTGGCTGTCCAGGGTTCAGACCATCCCATGAACTTACCAGGCCTTCATACTTCCTGGTGCATTCACAACCCGCTTGGCACACAAGATGTCATCCAGAATATGGCGGTTGAGCAGGTCTAGGGGGTGAGAGAGGAACATGATGATCTGGTGCACTTGGCAGAGGGTGACAGCATATGGAGGGCCCAGGGTTTCTGGATTCCTTGGGGCCTGAATTACATCAACCACTACATTGGCTGATTGTGGATGACCTCCACTCTTTTGTTAGCTGGTTATAAATTACCTCAAGTGCCCTGTTGACTGGTTCTGTACAACCTTAACTCTGGTTGGCTTTAAGTATCACATTGGCAGGTTATGAGTAACCTCAGTCACCATTATTGGCTCATCCCAGACTCCCTCAAATTCCATGTTGGTCAAGTCTGGATGACTTCAGCTGTCATTATATTGAGTTAACAATGTTCTCAACTGTAATACTGGCTGGTCTAGCATCACCTGAACCAGCTGATTGGGAAGATAATTAACTGTCATATTGGTCATTCCTAGTGACTTCAAACAGTATGTTTTCAGGTCCTAGATACATCCAATTCCTATTTTGACTGGTTATGAATGACCCCAACCTCCATACTGGCTAATTCTGTTCAACCACAGCCACCATAGTACCTTGTCCTAGATAATCTCAACTTCCATATTGGCTGGACCAGTATGACTTTTAACTGTCATTTAGCTAGTTGTTAATGATCTCAACTGCCACGTTGACCATCCTAAACAATCTCAACTACCATTTTGACTAGTTATAAATAACTTCAACCTGTCTTTTAGTTATCCTAGATTATTGCAATTTCCATGTTGTCACACTGAGCAGCCTTAACCTTAATTTTATTCAGCTTTGAAAAATTTCATTATTCATTTACTCTTAGACAACCTCAAGTTCTATGGTGGCCAGTCCTGGACAATCTCAACCTTCAATCTGGCCAATCATCGGTGACCTCTTCTGCTATGTTGACAGGACTTACACAATCTAAACCTCCATTTGGGTTGGCTCCAAATAAGTTAGTCTCCATTTTGGCCTGTCTTGGACAACCTCATCCATCATTCAGGACAATCCTCAAACAACTTCATTGCTATTCTATTTTGTCTCGACCATCACAACACTCTCATCTGGAAAGTTCTCTCATTTCTATACATAGGTAGTTTTTTTTTTTTTTTTTGCAGTGCTGGGGATTGAACTCAGGACCTTGTACATGTGAGGCAACCACTCTATCAACTGAGCTACATCCCTAGCCCTGGTAGTTTGTTTTTGTTCCTACTTCCAATCATCTGCTTCTTCCCTTGGGGCCTATACAACCTCAACTCCAAATCAGAACAGTCTCCCCATCTATTTCACATGACACTGAATTGTCTGTTTCCTGAGTCTCAAAAAACTATAGCCTCCACTCTGGGTCAGATTCAAGGGCTCTGCATTCTCTAGACCTAGGCAACATGTCATTGTAGTCTGGTTAAGGATTTAGGATGGTGTCTCAAACAACACAGGCAACTTTCTTCCTTTTCCCCATAATTTTTCTACATTTGTAGGAGATTACAGTTTAGATAATCTTGCCTTTTTGTGTGTGGCATGTAGGGCCAGGCACTAGGGATCTTGTATTCATACTTTTGCCTTACCACGACAATCCATATGGCAGAGGTTCTGGGTGGGTGTGACACCATTGTCACACCACCAGGCGGAGTTCAGCTGGAAAATGCCATATTCACTACTGCCATCGGGATTGTGATCCACGAAAGAGGTGTCAAAGCCGCTCTCGTAGTGTGCCACGCACAACCCTGGGACAGAGAGAGAAAGAGAGAGATACGAAGTAGGAGGCAGACATAGGGTCCAGGAATAAGAATGGCTAGGATGGGTGTGACAATGGGGATGATAGTCATCTTAGTTGTGAGACTGATGATCTTGGTTTGGTGGTGGGGTGTTGATGCTGATGATTCTGGGTGAGATATCAGTGATGGTGGTAGTGATGGTATTCATGGTGATAACAGTGGTGATGATATGGTCAGTAATAATGGTGTTGATGGTAGAGACAGAGTTGATGACATTAGAGTTGAGTTAAACCACTCATCACAGTTAGAAAGTAACCAGGGGTCAGGCCCTGACCCAGAGAGGTGAAAAATGACAAGAGAAGCCTGGGTCTGAGTGTGGTTAATGGCTTGGGGTATGGAAGGGACTTGGGGCAAATAGAATCTCACAGTCTCCAATTTGGTAGCCTCTGTAGCCATCAAGGCCTGCCTTCTCCAGCTTCTTTGCCAGCTCGCAACGTTCATAAATCTTGGCATCCACACTGGCAATGATCAGTGTGGCCCAGATCACTAGCACAGTGCCCCAAGCCAACATTATGACACCCGCAAGCCCTTGTAGCTGATGCCTTGCTCCAGATTCACCCTGCAGTGTTCAGAACTAAGGGCATTCTGGAACTCTGAGCTCTATGAGCACTGACTGGTCTAAGTGATATATTCTGGAACATAGAAGCTAGAGGTCTGGGCACCTCACTACTTTCCCCAATGCCAATTCTCCTAGAGACCAAGAGACACACAAAGAAAAATAAAGATACTGACAGAGATGGAAGGAAACAAAAAGACAGAGAAACCCAGTGGTGTCAGAAAGATGCAGGGAGAGAAGGGTTGGCAACACACCAAATACAGACAGTCTAACTTGAATACTAAGCCTCACACTGGACCCACATTCCCCTAAATTTCTTAATGCTGTACCACTCTACTCTCAACACCTATGTATTAGAACTTGGTTACCTCCATTTCCATTCACTCTAGTCCCATTCACCACTATTTCCCAGTCTGCTGACTGATCAGTGGTATTCATCACGTTGTACCTATTACCACCTCTGATTTCTCATCCTCTATAGAATATGACCATCATGCTCTGCCCCCATTACCTCCATTTACTCATTGTCTTAGTCTGTTTGTGCTGCTATAACATAATACTTGAGACTGGAGAATTTAAAAAGAATAGAAATTCACAATTCTGTCAGCTGGGAAATTCTAAGATCAAGGCAATGATATTTTGTGACGGTTTTCTTGCTGTAGTCTCCAGAAAGAGTTCCTGAAAGCCCTTTTCAGAGCTGCATTAATTCATTCATGAGGGCAAAGCCCTTATGACCTAAACACCTCCTCAAATGACCTCCTTTCCAACACTGTTGCATTGGGGATTAAGTTTCTAACACCTGAATTTTGGAGGGGACACATTCAAACCATAACACTCATCCTTGGCACTTCCTATACCTCCCTGTATTCACTGTGTGGTTCTATCTTAATTTACTGGAATCTTCTCCAATTATAATCACACTCTGTCCCACATCACATATTACAAATGATATCTTACACACACATACTCACATTCAACTGTTTTTTCGCCTTCATTCTTGGTCTTTTATTTCCCAGTTCACTTATACTCTCATCTAATTATGTTCATTCACACTGGGCTTCCTTTTACCACAGTTCCCTGACCCATTTATTTATCATTGTCCAAGTGTTCTCAAATCACATTCTTTCTTCACCTCCATTCACTCTCACTCATATTCATTTCCTATTTTCACCTCTACTTCCTGGCACTGCACCAACTGACTCCTGTTCACTTTGGTGCCCCATCCTTCAGCTTTGTTCATTGACTCCCGGCCTCATTATCTCCTCCACTCACTCAATCCCTTTCTGCCCTTTCTTTACCTGTATTCTCCAAGATGCTGCCCCCATCGGCCCCCTTTCCTGGAATTCTGTGATGTATTATTCCCAAACACTAGCTCATGTTACCCATATGAACTCACACTATGCTCAGTCATCTCCATTGTTTTTCAATTTCCTCTTCATTAGCTCCCCTTACTTTCATTTTTCCTAAATGCCTCATTCATTTAAATTCACTTCCAATGTAACCCCTATTACCCTCTTCTCACTTCTGCTCCTGATTTATGTCTAGTTGCTCCTTCTCTGCCTCAGTAACCCTATTCAGTCATACTTTGCCTTGAATTCACCACTTTTTGCCCATATTGGGCCTGATGTTACACTGATTCCTTATCCTGGGTGGACCATGTGACTTTTATCTCCTCTTCTTTTTTAAAGAATTTTTTTTTAGTTGCAGATGGACACAATACCTTTATTATTTATTTATTTATTTTTATGTGGTACTGAGGATTGAACCCAGTGCCTCATACATGCTAGGCGAGCACTCTACCACTGAGCCATAACCCCGGCCCTTATCTCCTCTCTTTTTGCCTCACAATATCCACATTTACTTACCTTCTGCTCTTTACTTCCAATCCTTCTCATTCTGCCCACCATTCATGTATATTCACATCTGTTGATTCACACTGGGATCCAGGTATACACATTGACTAGGTCACTACTCTGTATTACCCCTATCCAATTTCAGCCTACCCCACTCACCTCTAGTCACTTTCCTTCTCCCTTATAGTATCTCTGGACTCTAATCACTCTTGTTTTTTCCATTTGTGCATCCCACTCTTCTCTCTGAGTTCCACATTACCCCAATTCTCTCCTACTTTCCCTCTAAATTCACCTCTCCAATCATATTGTGTCTCATAAACCATTAGTCACACTCTAATCCTTAGCATTTCTATCAATTCTATTCGCATTTACCAACTTTCTTTGCCCCATTCACTCAGTCTACATCCACGATTACCTTTCTTTAATTAGATTGTGTTTCACTTTTTCATCACATATTCAGTCTCATCCATAATATCAATGTAATTCAAAATCTAGTGCATGGTCATTTCTTTACTCTGCCCATGCACATCTCTCCTCATGCTCTCTTCTCTGCTGCTCATTCACTTTTATTCCATTACACTTTGCCTCTCTCCTTGACCCAATTCACTCCCAATTTGACTTTCATTCGCCATTATTCATATTTGCTCACCATTGCCATGTATCCTGTTTACTGACTCACGTTGGCTGAACAGAAAAGTCTGATATATTATTCAGGATTAGGTTTGGCTGCACGAATCAACACCACTAAAAATGTCCTTGACTTCAAGAGGAGGTAAGGGGATTACTTTCTTGGAGGAAAGGCAGTTCAATGCTAATATGTTGACTTCAATGTCACCAGAGACTTGACTCCTTCTGTGCTATTTTTCTGCCAACTTCACTGCTTCCTTTTGGTCCTAAACAACTATTAAAAATTGGCAATAGCAGGCTGTAGCTGTAGCTCAGAGGCAGAGTGCATGCCTAGCATATGTGAGGTAGTGGGTTCGAGCCTTAGCACCACATAAACAAATAAAATAAAGGTATTCTGTCCATCTACAACTACAAAAAATTTAAAAAAATTGGCAACACTTTCATGGTTTTGATAAGATATATCTTAAGAGCTCAACAGCCAGGTGGGGGGCCTTTCCCCTTGTCTTTGGGTGAGGGTGCCACACCATACAGAGCCTGTAGTGGGACCACTTACCTGTCAATCTCCCATACCCTTTCACTTGGCCACCTGCTGCCTAGACTACTGTATGAGGAGGTTGCACCTGTAGGGACTGATGGTAGAGGATGCCCTGAATAGAGAGTGGGAGTTCTGGCTCTGCAGCAGGATATCTGGCCTCACATAGCTTATGGATGTGTACTGTGGACCTTGGGAAAGTTTCTGAGGGGCAATATCACTGGCTCATAAACATTTCTGGAGCCCACAATCAGCACATCTCAATTTCCACCAACCCCAAAGGATTTCCCTGCTTGCATTGGTGTGTGTGTGTGTGTGTGTGTGTATACACTCTCATGAGTGCAAGGTGGTAAGGGATAAAAGTGCAAGGCTGAAAGAGACCAAACTATGATGATCCTAAAGGTTCAGCCCTTCCTATTTTCCACCCCTGAATGTGTTAAAGAGTGGACAATGTTTATACTGGAGGTGCTGATACTTCAGAGAACAAGAAATCTGAGTTTTACTCCTGCTTCCTCTTTGCCTTGTTTGCTAGGAAGCTTCATTTCCAGGCTGGTTTTACTGAGTGAAGCTCCTCAGATACCTTCTATAAGTTCTGTGAAATATTGAATAAACAAAAGAATAATATTACTAGGTGGAGGTTATAAATCTGACTTTGAGAATTTGTGTGACCTTTGCCTTATCTCACAAGTGGGGGCCATGGGACTGTTGTGATAATTGAGTTCATGTCATGCACGTCACACAGTGCCCACCATGCAAGAGATAATGAGTTAGTCATTTCCTATGCCTATTGCTAGGAGCCTCCTCATTTATCTCACTGTTTCCACCCTTGCTCTTTACAGTCTGCTCACAAAGCAGTTTGCGAATCATCTTATTTTATTTTTTCTTATTAAGAAGTTTATATATATACACATCTGATTTTATTTATATAATAATAATAAACACCAACATAGCACTTGCTATGTGCCAGGTGTTGTTTTAAACCCTTTACAATATCGACTCATTTGTTACCTCAACCCTCATGAGATAGGCACTGTCATTATCCTTATTTTATAGATGAGGACACAGTACAGGGAAGTAAACAGTCGTGCCTTATATCGCACAGCTGGTGGGTGGGGGTTTGAACTCACGGTGTCCACATCATGTTGTTATTTTTTTCCTGGCTTCATTCCCAATATCTAGAACACTATTGGGCACAAAGGAGGTGCTTAGGCATATCCCTGCAGAGGTCACATTCTAATAGGGCAATAAACAAATGAATGAAATATACATGTGTAATTTTAGCCTTAAAATACAAGACTAGATTGCTTAAAAATCTGATCCCTCTTAACAGTTTCCCCATTATCTAGAGAATGAGATTATAAACCCTATTCCTAGCTCCCAACACACTAACGATGCCTCTGCCCATTCAGAGAAAGGAACCTGTCAGTCACTAATACAGCCCATTCTCCAACAGTGTGTGTTTGTTTGCGTCCCACAACACTGTTCATTTTTCAGCTTGTGGTCTGTGTACTTTCCTATCTTCTTCAAAAGCTAATACGTAAACTCCAGCCCTAGCCACTGGATGGAGCCAGTGGCTTTTCCCTACCCTCTTAGTCTTTGTGTACGCAGAACATTCCGCCCCGTATCCTGCAATTACACCGGCAACACCGTTGCTGACTTTGAATTCAAGACACAAAATTCCCGACCGCTAGAATCTTTTCCTTAATTGGGCACTTGTCCTCCCCGCCCTTCCATAAGTGTATTGGTGTCTGAAATCTTAGAATGCTTGTTCCCTCCGCAGAACAAAGTAAACACCTCTGCACAGCGAACCTGGAGGAGAGACGCCGTAGGCATAAATATCTCGCCTTGGAACAGTGACGTCACCTGTACAGCCGCCTTTCCTCTGCGCTTGCGCTGTGACCCCAACACCTTCGCGGCCCCATGTTGACTATTGGCAGATGTGGTCTCAAAGGCATTACTGAGCGTGCGCAGAACCGGTCGCTGTAGATTTTATAGGCTACGGTGCCGGAGAGCTGGTTCAGAAGCGGAAGTGCTTGTCGGGGCCAGTTCTTGTAACGGTCTCTTCAACAGCAAGCAGAAAATCAGTTGACGAGAAAGACAGTGAGGTTGAGCGGACGTTTGCTGGGGGTCTTGGGCTAAGTGATGGGGGATTCTGGGGGACGAGTGAAGGGAGGTTTATGAGGGTCATTGATACGGGGGTTTATAGGTTGAGTGATGGGGAACCGAGAAGTCAGTGTATGAGGGTCTGGGGGCTCATTGGTGGACAAAGTTATGGGGCTAGTTAGGATAGAGTGGGGCCTATTAAACTTTGACATTTACACATTTTCCAGCATAGTGACCTATACTTAGGGTTCTTGCGTATCCCTCAGGCCCCTCGTTACGTGCGCCCTGCCTCTCCCTCTGTCCCTCTCCCCTCGCCCAATCCCTGAGTAGGGGCCTGGTGTGAAAGTGCCAGGAGAAGTGACCTGCACCTGAAGGCCTCTTTTCGGGTCCTGGGCAAGACTATCACAGTGAGGTGAGGAGAAGGAAGAAGAGCCACCTGAGAAGACTTACCTAACAGCTGGCCTTCTCCACAGTTTGGGGGCTGGGAGGGGTGGGTGGGGCCTGGTGCTGCAGGATCTGAGGGAGGGGACTAGGGGTAAAATGTCATTTGGATAATAGGTAGTTCTAAAGTTCAGTGTTTTTTTTTTTTTGTGACATTTAATAAATAATACTTTTGAATTACAGATTAATTGGGAAATAGAGGAAAGGAAAAAAAAGAACTGATTTGCCCCCCCCATCACATTTATGTCCATTCTTAAACATATATGTGTATGCCTTTTTAAACTTTTATAGTTTTAAGATAGGTTTCTGCAGTTTTATAATCTATTTTTATTTAGAAATTTATTGTAATTCAGTTTTAGATTTCTTCTATAACATTCTTTTAAACTTTTGAGATCTGTCTACCACAACATACACAGAAAAGTGTATACTTCCATATAACATTTTAAACAACTGTGTAGAATTTTGTTGCTAATATTTATTTATTATTCTCTTATGGGTCACATGGGATTGTTTTAAGTTTGGCATTATTAAACTCAATGCCCAGATGAAGTTACTTACAGAGAAATTACACATTATGATAAATTATCTCATTAAGTGAATACAAATTCTGGGTTGGGGTACAATTTATTATATGTAATAAAAGCCTTTGTGCTCAATGTTCACACAAAAAGTCAAAAATATACTGGTCATTATTAAAACCATATACTCTTCCACAGAGCAGCTTCATTGCTAGCTTATGTGAGGGGATTTCTAGGAGGATAATTCTGCTACTCCAAGCCTAATGGGGTCCTCATATGTTCTACCCTTCTCTACTTGTTCCAGCTCAATTTTCACATATCTCTGCCTTTTCCCAAGAACAGCAGGAAATGGCCAAACCCCAGGTAAGTATGTTATCTGTTTGTTCCTTTCTCTTTTTAACCATAGATGTGATGAGATTTATAGGAATCTTTACCATGAAATAGAAACTTATTTGTGAATGAGGACTAGGATCAGGGAAAATGAGAGACAGAAGATCAAGGCTAATTAGAATGTACATACTTGGAGGACTTCAGGGTAACAGATACAGACATGTTCCTTGACTTGTGATGGGGTTACATCCTGATAAACTCATAATAAAGCTGAAAATTCATTTAATACTTCTAATCTACTCAGCGTCATAGCTTGGCAACATGGTACACTGTGGAGTATTCGTTGCTTCCCCTTTTGATCACATGACTGGGAGTTATGGCTCACTGCTGCTGCTAAGCATCAGAAGAGAATATTGTTTTACATATTGTTAGCCCAGGAAATTATTAAAATTAAAAATTCTAAGTATGGTTTCTACTGATTTTGTATTGATTTAGCATCACTGTAAAGTTGAAAAATCATAAGTCAGACCATGTTTAGTCAGGGGCCATCTGTATTAATGTTGAGCTGCTGGTTTCTCTTTGAGTCTTCAGGCAGCCAAAGGGAAATATAACTAGTTCCTTGACTCACCTTATTCATCAGGAGAGAGCATAGAAAGGCCTCAGGAGAAGCCAGGGTTTCCTGGAGTTGCTTTTCAGGGCATTTTTTGGTTCAGTTGTCATGTGGAATTATCTTTAACCACAACTTGGTGATAAATAACGTTCCTGATTTCCTGTAGATATTTCCCATTTCTAAGTGAGCTGGAGATATGGTCATATTATAAATTAGGAATGAAATCTCTTAAGGAACCTGCCTGTCTTTCAAATGACTTTCCTGAAGTAATTTTCTCAGTTGGACTTTCAGTTCTCTTTTGGCCAAGACACAAAGTCTACAGATAGCCATAGTCTACCATCTTTTTTCTTTCATTTTTTTATCTTTTAAATTAACTTAAAATTGATTTTGCATTTGTGTCAGTTGATAAGTGTTAATACGTGCAGATTGGTGTAACTAATCTACAGGTTCTAGTTTCTTCACCACAAAAACGGCCTCATGCTACTTATTTATAGTCATATCCTCCCCCTGCCTATAACCTTAGCCAACCACAGATCCATTCTGTGTACTATAGTTTTGTCTTTTCAAGAGTGTCATTTAAATGGGGCCATATGCTCTGTAACCTTTCTTTCTTTCCTTTTTTTTTTTTTGAGGTGGATACCACTATATTGTCCAGGCTGGTCTTGAACACCTAAACTCAAATGATTGTCTTCCATCATCTTCTGGATTAGCTGGGATGAAAGTTGTATGCCACCATGCCCAGCTTAGTGCAACCTTTTTTTAAAAATTAAACTTTTCCTTTTGAGGTGATTTATTTACATATAATTTGAAGAATAATATAGATAGGTCCCGTGTACCTTTTCCCATTTTCCCCAATGACAACATATTTCAAAACAAGTCTAATATCACAATCAGGATATTATATTAATATGATTAGGCATGGGCTGGGGTTGTGGTTTAGTGGCAGAGCACTTGCCTAGCATGTGGGAGGCACTGGGTTCGATCCTCAGCACCACATAAAAATAAATAAAATAAAGGTTTATCAACAGCTAAAAAAAAAATTAAAAATATGATCAGGCACAGAATAGTTCATTACTTCAAGGCTCCCTCAAGGCTACATTCACAGCTTTTCTCCTCACACCCATTCTTAATCTCCTGGCAACTACTAGTATGTTTTCTATTTCAGAAGCTTTGTTATTTCAAGAACATGATTTAAAGGGAATCATACAAGCCAGGTGCAGTGGCTTATTCCTGTAATTCCAGCAACTTGGCAGCTGAGGCAGGAGAATTGTGAGATTGAGGCCAAAGTCAATTTAGCAAGACCCTCAGCAACTTACTGAGACCCTGTCTCAAAATAAAAAAAAATGAAAAAGACTGGGGATGTAGCTCAGTGGTAAAACTTCCTTGGGTTCTATCCCCAGTAACATAAAAAGAAAGAAAAAGAATTAAATGGAATCATATAGTACATAATATTTTGGGATTGGACTTTTTTTTTTTTTTTACTCAACACAGTTCTCTGGAGATTCACCCAAATTGTTGTGTGTGTTATTAATTGTTCTTTTTTTATTATTGCTGAATTCATGGTATAGATGTTCTATGGCTTACTTATCTGTTCATCTTTTGAAATACATTTGGACTATTTCCAGATTGGGGCAGTTATAAGTAGAGCTACTTAAACATTCAGATTTTGTGTAAACATGTTTTCATTTCTCTAGAGTAAATATAAATTGCTGGGTCATATAGTAAGTGTATGTTTAGCTTTTGAGAATCTGCCAAAGGGGTTTCTGGAGCCATTGACCCATTTTTCATTTCCATAAGCAGTATGCAAGAATTTCAGTTGGCACATTTTTGTCAGCAGTTGGTATATTCAGTATTTTAAAAAAGTTTTCATCATTCTAGAATGCATGTAGTAGTATCTTATTATGGTTTTAATTTGCATTTCCCTAATAGCCAAGTATATTGAACATTTTATATATGCTTATTTACTTTTTTGTATGTCCTCTTTGATAATGTGTTTGTTCAAAAGGTTTTGTCCTTTTGAAAATTGGATTGTTTTCTTACTGTTGAGGTTTGAGAGTTCTTTATATATTCCTTATGCAAGCCCTTTGTCAGTCCCATGGTTTGTAAGTCTTTTCTCCAAATGTGTGGCCTGTCCTTTCAATTCTCTTAAGAGTGTTATTTGCAGAGCAAGATTTTTTTTTATTTTGAAAGTATCCAGTGTATAAATTATTTATTATATAGAGTGTGCTTTTGGTATCAGATCTAAGAACACTTTTTCCTTACTTGATGTCATGAAGATTTTCTCATATTCTGTAAGTTTACTAGTTTTTGGTTTTATATTTTGTTCTATGATCCATTTTGCATTAATATATACCTTTATACTTTATGTATATATATATATATATATATATACATATGTGTGTATACTTTATATGTCTGTATATACACACACATACGTATACACACTTATATATGTTTTTATGATTTATCCATTTATCTATTGGCAGATACCTAGGCTAATTCTATTATCTTGGCTATTTTTTAATATTTATTTTTTAAGTTTTAGGTGGACACAATATCTTTATTTTACATTTATGTGGTGCTGAGGATTGAACCCATGCTAGGCGAGTACTCTACCGCTGAGTCACAACTCCAGCCCATATATCTTGGCTACTTTATTGGTTTAAAACTTTTCTCAATGCATGCATTTAATGCTGTAAGATTTTCTCTAAGCAGTGTTTTAACTGTGTCCCACAAAGTTTTGTATATTTTCATTTTTGTTCAGTTCAGATTACTTTCAAATTTTCAATAATACTTCCTCTTTGATTATATGTGTTATTTGGAAGAATAATTAAAAAAAAAATTTTAGTTGTAGATGGACACAACATTATTTATTTATTTATTTATTTAATGTGGTGCTGAGGATCAAACCCAATGCCCCACACATGCCAGGTGAGCACTCTACCACTAAGCCACAACCCCAGCCTGGAAGAATGATGTTTAATTTCCAAGTGTGTAGTCTTCCTGTTATCTTTCTGTTACTATATATGTAGTCCTTTGTCCTTAGTTTTTAGCAGTTTGATGATGTGTCTGGTTGTGCATTTTTTGTGGGTTTTTTCTGTTTGGGGATTGCTGAGCCTCTTGAACCTACAGATGCAGGTCTTTGCCAAATATGGAAAGTGGTCAGGGATTTTTTTTTCCAAGTATTTTTCTGAACTTTCCTTTCTCTTCTTCTGGAACTCTAATAACCTAAATTTGGTGTTATCTCACAGGTCTTAGAAGCACTGTTCATTTTTTTCAGTATTTTTGTTTTCCAGATTGGTTAAATTGTATTGATTACTTTGAGGCTTATTCACTCTTTTATCTGTTGTCTCTATTAAGCCCTTTCTAGTAGGAGGTTATTTTGGTTATTATCTTTTTCAGTTTCAAAATTTCCATTTGGTTCTTCTTTAGATCTTCTGTGTTTTTGATGAGACTTTCTAGTTTTCTTGTGGTTCCTAGAAGGTTGGTCTAACTTCTTGGGTTGTGTGTGTGTGTGTGTGTGTGTGTGTGTGTATGTATGTATGTTACTGGGGATCAAATCCAGGGCCTCATGCAGGGTAGGAAACTGCTCGACCATTGAGCTATATCCCCAGCCTGGGTGTTTTTTTGTAATAGCTGCTTTAAAGACTTTCTCAAATGATTCCAGCACTTGTATCTGCTTGATGTTGGTATCTGTTGTTTTTTTCTCGTGACTGTTGAGATTTTCTTGTGTACCATGTAATTTTGGAATATGTCCTACATATTTTAATGTGATATTATGAGACACTGGGTTTGTTTAAATCATATGGAGAATGTTGATATTTTGATTTGCCATAGGCAGTTGACCCAGTTGAGTTCAGGCTACAAGTTCTAATCAGTCTTCTGTAGTTTGTGGTTTCCATGTTTGTTTAGTTTTTAAACCTCATAACAGACATTCTGGGATGTAGGCAGTGGTTTGTCCCTTAGTTCAGTTCTCAAAAGTGTTTACTTTTTTGTTTTAGATTAGATCCACAAATGCACAGTTTGAGAATGAGCCCAGGAGTTGATATATGATGTTATGGGGTTTCTTTCCTGAATTCTTCCTCCCCATGATTTCCTGTGAATTTTCTAGTTCCCTGTTCTTCCCCCTTTTGTCCATCTTATAGAGAAGCGTTTTTTGTTTTTGTTTTTTTGTTTTTTACTAGACTGTACACTTACCCCAGCTATGCCCATGGATGGACACAAGTTGCAGATACAGAAGACAAAAAATAATGAAGTTTCTCTTGGGACTAAGAGCTTCAAATCAGAGTCTGGGTTTTAGATGATGGCCAGAGTCTACTGGTACTGCAGGTCCTGTTGTAGCTATTACTGCTGCTGCTACTGCTGGGTTTTCTGCTGCCTAGGGTGTGAGAGAAAAGGAGGAAAAAGAAAAATGGATTTCCCT